GCTGGAAACGATGTTTTGCCGGACTTGTAATCAATTTTGATGGACGAGGACTCGCCATTTCCGTTATATCGCCATCCATTTCTCGGGGACTGAATGATCAGCCCATCGACGGCGGCGAAGATGATTAATTTCCGCAGCAAACCGGGCATCTCGCCGGCCTCGGTTTTGCGAAGATGGCGGGGCCAAGAGGGGGCGGTTTCGCGACCGAGCTCACGGGAACGGAGAAAATGAAACTGGAAGACAGAGGGCCCCGACACAACGAGATAATGCTAACCCATACGAGAGAGCCCAGGAGGTGTCGAGAGGGACCGACGGCATCGCTCGAGGGAAAGGTGGAAGTTGGTCGGAACAGCTGATCTCGGAAGGCTCGAGGACTGACCTCATTCGGCTCGATCATCCCCACTTCTCAGGCGATCGCGATCGTTGCTCTCCTCCCTTCGCAGTCTACGCTCGGCACGAAGGAATATGGCTCACGCCTCTCTATCATAAACTTAACTCTCGTGCATATATACAGTTTTGATTCGGTTGTAGGCCTTTGGCGCCTGCGTCTAGTCCCCAATTCAGGGTACAAAAAAGGTACAACGGCAAACAACAGACCAAACAATTCAATCCAATTCAACATCCAATTCGTTCATGGGCATCCATTGATCCTCGTCCTGGTATTTTCTTTGCGCTTGATCAGAATAATAGTACAGAGCATCCAAAATTGAAAAAATGAGAAAGAAGAAAAGAGAAAAGAGAAGAGCAACCATGCCGACTTGGGGAAATAAAGAACAATCGTGGATCGGAGTGTTTAAGCAAATTCAGCAAACAAGAGAAGAAAAAAAGGGAAAAAATTTAAAGAGCAGCAGAATCGCAGTGAGCTTTCGTGAAGTATAAGTCAGAGGCGGGAGAAGAAGATGGAGAAAAGGAAGCTTAGTGGACAAATGGGAGAAGTAAAAAGTGGAAAAGAACATAAATCAGCACCTGCGATGACAAAACTGTATAGGTCTACCGCTCATCATGTTTATTTGGTGCCTGAGAGGAGCGCTCTAAATCGGCACTTCGTTTATATGTAGGACCGGGTTCCCCGTCGCTCTCTTCGGTCAACTCGGACAGCCCGAAAGCCTGATTTTCAACGTCGTAGGACCGGATGAGCCCTTCACGGTCGCCATGGCCATTGAGATAAGCAATGCTGGAGGAGCTCCGGCGGTGGGGTTCGTTACTTCGGCGGGATTGCATGGAGCGACGGGTCTGGAAGCTCGCAATGCCGTCCGTGGGAACTCCTTCGTCGTCCAGCTTGCCATTCAGCAGGTGTCGTCCGTCGGGGTCATGTCGAGAGAGATTCAAGAGGTAGACGCCGGAGAAAATGATAAGGAAACCGCACAGAAGGGAGATGGTGTTCACAGCGTCGGTGGTGTTAAATCCCTTGAACAGAATGAAAGAGGCGCACAGTGTGGCGGTGGTAAAGGTGACATAGTAGAGGGGGTTGACACTACAACATCCGGTCAGCTCCCTCCAAAATTTCCCCTCGCGATCAATCGTTTCCCCAGATAACTCACATCGAAGTAGAAAACTGATTCAACGCCTTGTTGAAATAGTTCATCTGCGTCAGGATGCAGAAGGCGGTGACGATCATAAAAACGTACGTCGATGCATGCGTGAACTGGTTGTTTCCGCCCAACGTGAGCTTCACAGCGATACCAAAGGCTTTGACCGACATGACGGAAACCGAGCCGACGGTGGAGCAAATCGAGATGTAGATGAGGGGGTTTCGTTTGCCGTAAACGGGCGCAACTCGGTAAATCATGACGGTCGAGAAGATGGCCACCGCAAGACAATAGATCAAGAATCCTTGAAGAGGCGAGAGTCAGCGCTACACAATGATATAACCAGTCATGCTACCGTAACAACTTACCGGGCTGAAGCGCATATCCCAGAATCTCATCAATGGTCGTGACCTGCTTGTCGGGAGGCGCGTGGAGAACGATGACAACGGAGCCGAGCAAGCACATGGCGCAGCCAAGCTTACCCAGCGTACCGAGAATTTCCTGCAGGAAATATGAACCGAGAACCGATCTATGGGAGCATCGTCAGTAAATCGCAACAGGATAGAATTGTCGCAGCGGAGATCCTACCCGATAAGCACGCTCAGCGCGCCTAGCGGAGTCACCAGAATGGCGGGCGCAAAGGCATATGCGGCGAAGTTGGCGACTTCTCCTAATCCCACTGTGTTCTCGGATTAGCGTCCGACCTCCGATCCGGTGTAACGAGGGATGAATCCAGTCATACACATAATCACACCACTCCACCAAATGGGGCTTTTCAGGTAAGAGAAGCCTTCGCCTTCAAAGCCATGTCTTTCGGACGCTTGCATTAAGCCCTGTGTGTTGACGCCAATTAGTCATTGTGTTCGAATGCCGGGGGATCGGAGTCGTGGATGGAAGGGGGTCGGCGACAGGGAGAAGGGTCGACGGCAACGGACCTTTTTTGTGATAACGAAACTTGTGCCTGGGATGATGTTAGCCAACGCCAGCAAACGCCAGCCAGTCGAGCGAGTACGTACCAATGGCCATGGTGGACATGATGGCCAACAGCAAACCGACATATCTGCATATCACGGATCGAACGGTTAGTATCTTGACGTCAAGGCTACTCGCAATCCAGGAGAGAAGTCCATACTTATCCGACAACATCGTGAATAGACTCTAGGAGCTGGCTGCTCCCACTACCGTAAGACCTCCAATGCTAACGAGTGACGCAAATGGAGGGAGAGGATCAAACGAGCGAAAGTCTCGAAGAGCCAGAAAAGATTCAAAGGAAAGGAGAAGAAAGGAAGTAAGCAATGGTGAAAAGAAACGTAAGAAAAAAAAAAAAAAGTTCAAGGCGGTCCGGATAAAGGCGCAAATAATAGGGAATGACCGGGGAAGGCTGAAGAGGACGGAGGGTTGGCTGGACTGGCTTGGTCGCAGGCTAGCCAAGCATCGGAAGCGCGCCAAACAATGGGGGGAGAGGGAGAATCCAGGGACGAAGCGGCCAGATGTGCTGCAGGCAGAGAAGGGGGGTGGAGAGGGTGACGGAAGGAAAAAGAAAAGGAAAAGGAAGAGGTGAGAAAGTGGCAGTGGTTGAGGGGGACGAGGTTAGGAATGGAAGTGATGGATGGAGATCGGGAGGGCCTGCAGCAGCGTAGGAGACCAAGAGACTAAAGAGGCCAGAAGGCTGGCGGTGCTCGTGCGGTGGGGAGTTTTTCTTGCCCTTCCCTCTGACGGAACCGGGGGCTGCCTCTTACCTTGGGTTCTGGACGCGTAAGTTACCTCCCGTGCTGCTCGCCAATTTGCGGGCGCCGAATTATTTGGTTTGGATCTTTTTGATTTTTTTGTTCTTTTTAATGGGGATGAACTTTATTCAACTTTAATTCAAATTCCAATTAACAGAAATAAACAGACATGCAGGGCGAGATCTGTACTCTACATCCAGTGCTGAGTGCTGAGTGCTGAGTACTCAGGACTGTCAATCGAGACCGGGCCAGCTAAGAATAGAATTGCAATGGATCTGGACGATTACTACGACCGGTGGATCTCCTCATCTTCCACCCAGGTGGTAGACTCCGTCAGTAAGTCTCGGTCTACCGATGGCGGCTCTCCAGATTAGTTCTCTTCCTGCAATACATCCAATAAAAGGAGACGATCCCACGATGCATCACTATCTAGTTATGGACACTAGACAGTAGACCCTGCCAGGAGAGATGAACTCAGCCCCCAACGGATGCCTGACAACAAAGGCAACGGTGGCCAATTCCCGACGGGTCTGTTTGTCCGGTTTGCTCGGTTTGCTCGGTTTGACCAGCTTTGGGGACTGTCTGATCGGCGTTTCAGTCACGAAGAATGGCACAAGTTTAACGCCTGGTCGCCCTCTCATTTCCCGGGCCAACCTAAACTCTCTAACCGACCGTACCGAGGTGCCTGATTATCCTCTTGGTGGTCTACAATGTAACTACATACGGCGTAGCTGAGGTAATATACAACCCACCCCCTATTACTCTGACTTCGATTTGAGTATCTAATGATGTGGTCACCAGATTGGTCCCCGAGTTGCTGGCCTGTCTTATCAATCAATCAATCAATCGGTCAGTCCCTCCGCCCATCTGAGCACAGAGCAAACCACATGGTTCGAACGGTATTATGGGGCCGCCGTCCTGGTGTGTGTGCCGCGTGCCGTGTTGCCGTTCGGTCACTACTCCTTAGTCCTAGTTATCTATAGGCAACGGGCGACACAGACCATTTCGCATAGTTACTGTCACATTGTTGGTATTGATCATAGAACATACGGGGTAGACCCTTGGACTTAAGAAGTAAAACCGGAAAGTCACCCCGAGATGTCTCGGGGATAAAGCACCAGCAACGTAAATCAAACAAATCAAGTGTCAGATTGGTCTTGTACCGGGGGCAGAATCCACAAGGCAGCAACTAAATCAATCCAGCATGTCCCCGCTAAATGCTATCTGGGAGAACAGCGCTTTTTGGAATATCGACCACACTTCTCAAGATGCAGACAAACGAGTCCTCGGAACGCCGAGGAATTCACCACAATTGGTATCACTCAAAAAGAAAACGCCAGAGAAATACACGACGGAAAGGAACAGAAATGAAACCGATTCTTGTCTCGGCCCTCCAAGGACGTAGCATACAAACCTAGACTTACAGACCACGCCTGCTGCGTCGGTCCGATGGAAGGTTCCTCGGACACGTCGGGCTTCAACCACACGCAGCAGGGGGCGGGGTGGGGGGTGTTAATTAATACGTACCTGGTCCTGGCTCTACCGGCCACAGTAACTTTTGGGATGGTAGGCGGATGAAGACCATCATAGACAAGGCACTTGGAAAGTGACCGGTCTAAAGGAGTCGACAGCGGCGTGTCGATGCTGGGTATGTTAGAGATACGGAGGGTTGGGATTGCAAGAAAAATTGAACAAAAGGGAGATCGGTGGAGAAAGCATGAAATGGGGCAATGTGAACGCGAGACTATGAGGACCGCGACCGTTTGGCATCCGGCGTCGGACTTTCGGCGAGCTCAATCTCATCTTCTGGTTCACGTGGCCGCTTGGTAGAAGCCAGTCCCGTCGATTCCGGAGCGGGTTCCTCATCCGCGAAGTTGAACTCATCCGCAAGACCCAGGTCCAGATACTCATCGTCGTCTTCAAACGTCAAGTCGAGCGGCTCGTCTTTGGAAGGGTCTATAGATGGAACCTGCTCCGGCTCTTCCTGAATCTCTCCCGATGGATTGGTGTTTTCAACACCTTGACCCGAAGCAGATTCTTTGACGGGGCTTTTTTGAAGCTCCTCGGTGGCACCTAGTACATCAGGAGCACCTGCAGATGGTTGGGCTTGGCCTTCGGACTGTTCCGATGTAATATTCTCCAAGCTGGACTCCGCACGGTCAAAGGCAAGGCCACCATCATCACCCTGGAGTGTCGCTTCGGTGTCGTTCCCGGGATCAATTGTAGTAACGGCAACTCCTTCGTCTTCGGAATGCAGAGACTCTGCGTTTTCTTCCGGTATATCCTCATGGTACCCTTCTACATCTCGCTCCGCGGCTTCGTCATCATTGCCATTGACATCACTGATGACATCGTGTTTGGCTTCATTGGAAGTAACACTTTGAGCGGGTCCCTGGTCGGTTTCATCCTGAGGGTTGTCTTCACAGCTGTCGTCCCCTCCAGGTCCATCATGGTCATCATGATCATCAAGTGCGATATTAGTAGACTGGTCACCAGATTGCTGCTCATTTACCGAGTCAACTCCGAGCAATGGAGCTATAGTGCCCGTTGATTCCGTCTTCTGCTCCTCTGAATCATAAGCCTCTTCATCGAGGGAACCGTCCTCACGAGGCTCGACATGGTCGGTCTCGCGGGTAGCAGCTTCTTGGTCATCGTTGTTCTCTGCATCATTTGGTTCCACTTTGTTTTCCGCGGGGCCAGCGTCCAGACCATTATTATCCGAAGCAGAGACAGATTCACCCTGCCCTTTCTGCTCGTCGTTATCGTTCTGCGGTTCGTCTGGGACGGGAGCACTGGGGTTTTCGTCGAGGACGTCATATGTCTCGGGCTGAGGATCATTCTCGGGGGGCACGGTCTCCTGCAGCTGTTCGTCCTGGGTTTGTTCCTGATCTGGCTCTTCCCAGTTTTCTGGAGAAAGCTCTTCTGCTTCCTGGTAGCCATCCCAGGGAAGGACCTCGGACAAACCCTTTCCTTCTTCCGCAGCTACAAGAAGATAAGACACCTCCGCGGCAATGGTCAATTTGGTGCTAAGAGTCAGGTAGAGCGGCTCAGGCTCATCAGTGCCGTCGTTATGACACAAGCGCAGGTACAAGTCGACAAGTTGATAAAGAGTCACCTTAGATATTTGTGAGGAATCCTAAACGACATAGTTAGTATTTTCAAACTCAAGAGCAATGGGGAAGATAATTACCTCAGTTAGTTGGAGATTGAGAGTATCAATGTCCATAACCAAAACCTCACTATCTGCTATGTGCTCACGAAGTACTTCACGACACGATTCCAAAAGCTTCCCGAAGGGCTCATAGGCAAGATTCTCGTCTTCAAGGAAAAACGTTTCTGAGGAGTCACCTTCACGAGGAGGAAACAAGGATATCTCGTTATCCTGATAATAGACTTTGACGGGATACAATGAAGAGGCATGGTCATGCGTATCATGTCCGACTTCTTCAAGGTTGTCAATCGTTTCTTTGCCTTCGACCTTCTCTTCGACATCTTGCTGTTCGTCGACAGATGACTGACTTCCGTCATGGGCGCGTTCTTCACCTTGAGCCTGTTTAGGAGTAGCGTCGCTGTCGTCACGCGTTGCAGGATCTATTTCCTGGGGTTCTACTTGTTCTGTTTCGTTAGTATCCTGCTGGCTCTTTTCTGTATCCGGAATAGTTTCCGGTTGATCCGCTTCACGTTCCTGTTCCACATTCTCTTTGCCGTGGTTCTCGTGCTGGGGCTGGAGGTATTCCTGTTGGTCGTGATCCGGCGCAACACTATCATCGACCGGGACTTCAATCTGGGGTTCCACGGTGGTGGTGTTGTTGCCATCTGTGGCTAACTTTGTTCCTTCCACGCGCTCCTGCTCTTCTTGTATTGCTGGCATTTCCTGCACGTCCTGTGTCTGTTGTACCGCCTGTCCGTCTTGATCATTCACATGACCAGGAGGAATGTCAGGGTTTGCTTCTTCCTGGAAGTCGGACACGTGGGCATCGATATCCTCGTCGAAGTCGTCTTCGGCCATTTCTGCCTCGTATATTTTTTCGTTGTACTGCATCTCCACGCTATTACTCGTTTCGGGGTAGTGGTCGTCTGCATCGACCATGGTGGGCTCGACAACATCATCGATCATATCGGCATCGTATTCGGTTTCATGGGTGTTTTCTAGGTAGTCGTCGTCACCCATCATATCCTTGTCGGCGTTCGAGACCTGGTCTTCCATTACATCCAGGTCGATGTCAAAATCATCGGCGTGTCCCTGATAAGGGGACGCCATCTCCATTGTGTCGTCAAGAACGGGAACCTCCATAGTCGGAAACGCGATCGAAGGGGCTGCTGTCATGGCATGGGCGTGTTGGGCGAACTCTTTTGGGCCGCGTCGAAGTTTCAGCCAGGCGTTTTTGTCTGGGTCGGTGGCGACTAATCCGCGACGGGGGGTGATAAGTTCCTGTAAAAGACGAAGAATATGCTAGCGAGACACTCCGAATAAATACGGAAGACTCCGGACTTTTTAACCGATAAAACCCTCAGTGGCAGAGAGAGAAAGGGGATGGACAAAGAAGCCTGGACGGGGCAGGTCGCAAGCAGCGAAGCTTCTTGTGCTGCGGTAAGCGAGGGGGTAGCGCGGCGCACGGGCCAACGGGGACCCGAAGTGAACAGCAAGCGACTCCGGAGTGGAATATCTGGCATTCGACGCCAGGCCCGACGCCTTTCGACCCATCACCTCCCCCGGAATAGCTCTCCTAGTTGCTCCCCGTCTCTACTAAACCTCATTGACCATTCACTGATCCAGCTATGGTACGCTTGGCTGTTCCCATCATCATTCTGCCGTCCCCCCTGCTTACCATCTCACACAAATAAACAGGTCGTCCTCGCAGCGTCGATATGCACCCGCGGGGGCAAGGCGGTACTTTCGCGTCAATTCCGGGAAATTGCTCGCTCTAGAATCGAGGCTCTACTCGCATCCTTCCCCAAGCTGGCGGATTCCGGCACGCAGCACACCACCGTCGAACAAGACAATGTCCGTTTCGTCTATCAGCCCCTCGACGAGCTTTACATCGTTCTCATCACCAACCGCCAATCGAACATTCTGCAAGACATTGACAGTCTCCACCTGTTTGCACAAGTGACCACGAGCATCTGTAAGAGCTTGGATGAGAGGGAGATCTTGCGCAATGCTTTCGAGCTGCTCAGTGCATTCGATGAGCTGGTCACGCTGGGCTACCGGGAGAACTTGTCGCTTTCGCAGATCAAGACATTCTTGGAGATGGAGAGTCACGAAGAGCGAATTCAAGAGATCATTGAACGGGTACGTACTCCTGTTTGAATCGCAGCTGGATGGAATACTTACTATGGTCTAGAACAAAGAACTCGAAGCCAGCGAGGAGCGCAAAAGAAAGGCGAAGCAACTCGAAATGCAACGAAAGGAGGCGGCTCGCACTGGTCGTGCTGCGGCTCCCAGGACCCCGTCCTACCCGGTTTACACCCCCCCTGCTCGTCCCGCTGTCCCCGATACCTATGATAGTTATGAAGCGGAGAAACAGAAGACCTTTGCGAAGTACGGTTCTTCCTCCCCTTCCTTTTCTCTCTTTCTTGGACCTGGACGAGTATTAATTTCGGTGTCTATCTAGGCCACTGCCAAGCCGCGGAAAGGGCATGCAACTTGGTAAGAAATCGAAGGCTACGGATATCTACGAAAAAGTGCGCGGGAATTTGGGACCCGAGGTGGAAGAATCAACTCCCTTGGTGACCCCCCAGGCCTCCACTCCCGTTGCCGATAAAGTCTCCTCCGCTCGTGCCTCCCTCTCTACCGACCGCGAGCCTATTCATATCACCATCGCCGAAACTATTTCTGCTACCCTGACTCGAGAGGGTGCCCTAAAATCATTTGAAGTCAAGGGCGACCTCCAACTCCGCATCACAGACCCCGCGTTCACCAAGCTCAAGCTCGACCTCCTTGCCAACCCCACGCACGGCGCCCAGTTCCGCACACATCCCAACGTTGACAAAGCCATCTTCAACAACTCTGGGGTCATTCAGTTGAAAGACACCGCCAAGCGATTCCCGGCAAATAACTCGATTGGTGTCCTGCGCTGGCGCGTTGCCAACTCAGGATCAGACAACGCCGAGATTCTCCCTATCACGTTCACCGTGTGGGTCAACAAGGGCTCTGATTCCACGACCGTTACCGTCGAGTACGAGCTGACCGGCTCCGACTCCCTCCGCGACGTTGTCGTTACTATTCCATTTGGTGCCGCCGAACCTGCTGTGTCGAGCTTCGACGCCGTCTACGAAGTCTCGGGCGATAGCTTGGATTGGAATATTGGGATGGTGGACGAGAACAACGCGTCTGGCAGCTTCGAGTTTGAATCGGTAGGCGACGGTGACGAGAACGAATTCTTCCCAATGAACGTGCGATTCTCCAAGGCCACTCCTTTCGTGGAGGTTGATGTCTCGGATGTCACGCTGTTGGATGAAGGAGAAAGCACTGGATATTCCAAGGACGTGAAAACCGTTGCTGAGGGATACCTTATTGAGTAATGTTGTCTTTGGTGTATAGAGTACTAATGACGTTCGGACCGCCTTTGGAGGTACTGCAAATTGATTTCTTTATTTTATTTTATATTCACTTTTTTTTACTTTGCCCTCTGTTGTTAACCAGGGTCCTCACCTACCTTCAAATGTTAGTTTTATCGTTGCCCGGCCTTTGTGATTTTAATCTGTTAGTTTATAAGCCAAATAGGAGTCACGTCTATGAATTAGGTTTTCTACTGTGATTGGATTCTCTGGCTGAAGCTGAGTAAGGGGGAAGTCACCTGCCGCGTGCTCACTTTTGGATTGAGACCGGGTCATTCTGCTGTCACAAACACCCTCTCCTGTACCAGTCCCGGGGCAACCATGGGGTTGGTTGCTCGATGATACATCAAAGCTTTATGCTTCGCCGGGATTTCTTTCCTCAGCCCCCAACCAAGGATCATCGAGTCATCAGTCGGCTGAGCCGTTCCTACTTCCACTCTACTATACCATGAGTGGGTTCGTGCGCAAAAAAGATGCCGTCAGTCAGGGGCCGAACCAGCACGGCGAACTTAGCTCACATGTGAAGGGTGAAAGGATCGGCTCCTCTCAAGGTAAAGACTTGCCGCACTCGATATTTCCGCATGCTGAAGATGTAGGAGATCTCATCTAGACCACCTTCTGTTAAACCTACTCTACCCTCCTTTAGCCTGTCAGGCGTCTCTTAGATGCAATAACGGATTGGACCTTGAGGGTAGTAGAAGCTTGGTTGGCAAAAGAGTTTTCAGGTAGGTATACTTTCTTTCTGAGAAGCTCTCTGACAATACCCATTTGTCTAGAATTTCCGTAGAATGGCTCCTCCCCTTATACTTGGTTCCATTGCACCATAAAAAACTACGCCCACCGGATAAGGCGCATACACCCGCGCATCTTTTTTCAGGTGCTTCGAAATCTTTGTGTCGTTTGATTTATTCGCTTCTTGAACTTGATTTCCCCGAGCTCAAGGCCAGAAATATTCACCAGTTCTCGTTCATCATACATGGTTGCAACGCAATATGTGACTTGCTTTCTTCTTCCATGATCCACACGCTGTCTGAAAAAAACCTCAATTCCATTCCTGGCAATGAGAGATTCAGCAACGTGTTTCAGATAGGATAGCTTTCGCTTGTCTTGCATGCACCTTCCACATCTTCTTACGATCTCGTCTCTGTCCGCAATGACCAATTTACAATTCCAGTCTGGGAAAGAACAATCGAATAGTTTCCGGCTACCAACTGGGGATCCAAAATATTACAACAATATGAACCATATGGTAATAACTATTGTTGCTCTTTGACCTTCGTCCGTTTATAGAATACATCACTCAATATTCATAAAGTCTAGTTCGTTTGCTCAGATGTGGCCTCATCATTATCCTCCTCCTCCTTTTGGCCCCGGAGGCAAGTTTCCAATCCCAAGACTCTCTGAAGGGGCTGTCGGATCCATCCTTGGGGCGCCCGGAAGAGTGACAAGACGACACGTTAGTCGAGCATGTGAATTTTGCAGACAAAGGAAAACAAAATGCTCGGGTGATGCGAGTGGCTGCGTCAACTGTCAAGATGCCGGAATCATATGTTGCTATACGGATAGCAAAAAGGAGAAGTCTAAGAGGTGAGAGCAGAATGGATATGCCCCCAGCGAAGAGTGCCCACAATGACAATTGTTTCCCAAAGGCAGATGAACAGCCTGGAGGCGAAAATCGGCACTTACGAGAAAGCACTCAAGATTGTGGGCGATTGGAACGGACTTTCTAGCGAGGAACTTGTGAACCTCGCGCTGTCAGAGGTGCGAATAGGGATTAGTCCCACGTGCATGCATCATTTCTAACTATTAGAAACAGGAGACTTCGTCTAATAAAGATGCGTATACCAATCCCACGCGATCATCAGGGACAAGCACTGCGTCTTCCAAAAAGCTCATCACGGGGCCTTCTCGAGTCCTAGACTATACCGCCGTGGACTACAATTTTGACGACGCCAGCCGTTCAACGGGATACATCGGTAGAAGTTCAGAGATTTACTGGATGCACGCTCTCAACAAAATGATCAATTCTTCCAAGAAAACAAAGGGTGATTCAAACGCCTCAAGTGCCTCAACACTTGGCCCACATGGCGATGGAAGAGCAATCGCGTCGTTTAACTATAACCTCGACCATTTAGAGATCACTACGACCGAAAGAGTTGAGCAAATCTCAGTTCCGCCAAAGGCCGTTTGCTGGCATCTTTTTGAATTATACCGCTCTTCAGTCCATCCGTTGTTTCCCATTATCGGGCTTGTCCCGTTTACACGGCAGTTGGAGTCGTTTTTAGACAAACCCATGCAGCCTGGAAGTAGATGGCTCGCCATACTGCATTTGATAATTGCCATTGCTGCCAGATACAACTATGTGACCAATCGCCAATGGAGGTACGACCAGGTTGACCATTTTAGTCACTTTCTGAAAGTGAAAACGCTCAATATAGACAATCAGGTTTTGAGCCATCCTGATATGCAACAATTGCAAGTTGAAGGGCTAGCCTCATTCTATCTGCTATCAATGGGTTACGTGAATCGGTTTGTCTACATCTCCTTGAAAACTACTCATGTTGAGTGGATTTCTGACTCGTGTCCTATTGGATCCTCAGGGCCTGGTTCCTCTGCGGCAGTGCACTACGCCGAGCGTTTGCCCTTGGGCTACATCTACGCAACGTGAGAGGCTGCACCCTTGACTCTCGAGAAATAAGATATCGAGTTTGGTGGTCTCTATATACCCTCGAACACCGCCTCTGCGTGATGACCGGTCGCCTTTCTAGTGTTCCGGATAACATACTGACAACGCCGCTTCTTCTCCCTTTTGACGAAAGTGACTTTCCCAAGGAGGAAGTCCAACGTCTTCTTGCTCGTTCCGCACCAAGCCCGAGTCAGCTTGCACCAGTGATAGGGACCTCCAAAAGTACCACTTCTGGCGAAACTAAGCAAGATGCTACCTCAGATTGCAGTCACGCTCCTCCATCCTGTTCTCTTTATTTCACCCAATTGGTAAAGCTAACTATCATCGCTAAGAAGATGTCCATCAAGCTCTACAATCCAGAGTCAGTACCGTCACTATGGTCAGGTATCAAGTATGCAATGCATGACCTGATACATGAGCTCGAAGCTTGGCTCATGAATCTGCCTAAGTTTTACGACTTCTCGTCACCAACAAATACTTCCTCTTTGGCGACCGAAAGGATGACACTTGCTCTTTTGTTTTATAGTACCAAGCTTGCGATTACAAGGCCCTGTCTCGGCCCTTCAGATCCCGAACAAAAAGGACAAAATGATCGTGAATTCACCAAGAAAAATGCGGTCGATTGCGTTGAGTCGGCCTGCCACGTGATAAGGCTTCTTCCAGAACCCGCGGATACGGACGCACTATACACGTTGTTTCCATGGTGGAGCATTATACACTTCTTGATGCAAGCAACGGCGGTCCTTTTTATTGAGGCCAGTTTGAACTTTGAGCACATTCCGCAAAAGGTGCCAATGGTTTTAAGGGCTGTCAAAAAATCGCTTGAGTGGATGTCCGTCATGTCAACAACCAGCACTACCGCAGCCAGAGCTCGAAAGGTTTGCGAACATTTCTTGGAACGACTGGGCATCGAGCTCGATTCTGAAGATTCCAACCCCTCCAAGCCCGAGTCGGACTCGAATGATTCCCCTCCCATTCAAGAAAACTTTTCCAATCCACCGCCAAAAAGGGTGAAATTCCAGGACCCAGCCGCCGAGTCAGACCCCCCATTAATGCTACACACCTATCACTCAAATTTCTCTGCGTCCGCGCATACAATGGGGGCACCAGGAACGGCAGCTGTGCCAAATATGATGGAAAGCCACAAACCTACACCCTATGCCTTTGCCGACGAGCTTCTTCCTTATGACCAAAATACGGGGGTTTATACCGATAGTATCTTTCCGCCCGTCGACCCGACCCTGGAGTCTAATTTGAGCTATCCCCCAGATCTCACGCTATAATCTTCTTCGTTCGAGCGGAGAGGCTCGGTTTCTTCTTGAGATTTCAAGTAGCTTGACACGGTACCCGTTGGATCCTTGTCGCTATAAAATATGATGACCAGCCCCCCTTAAGACATCCACTAGTATCTACCTATTAATACAAGAAACTACGATGTTCATCGTTACGATCGTGTTCTTCAATAGACTCTTTCTTCGCCGAGTATGGACTTGAATGTTCGATGGGGAGACTCTAGACTGGTGGAAAGCTACGTACGATAGCTTGATTTTGTCATAATGCATCTCATCATAGCGAAAACTTCGTTTCTATCTCACTCAAACAAGGCAATGTCTTTTGTCTAGATAGATAATGAGTATATTCCTCCTCATTCACATTCAACTATATCCCAACTCACTCCTCACTGTGTATGCGGTTTCTTGTCCAATCCAAAAATCTATATCCTCAGATCGTTATCTAAAAAGGGGGAAAAGTAAGACGAAATTGTACCTATGTTCAAGAATGCAAAATAATCTGGATCAACCACACTCAGTCCAACCTAACCTAAACCTGAAAACCTTCGTACAGACGCTCCGCTTAATTCCGCACAAGTAAGAAAAAAAGGTAGATTCAACCGTGGGACTCAGGAAGCTTCAATCAAAAGACTAAAGTATTGTGCATGATATTGATCATTGGCCCGCAGGGAGGGGAAGGGAGGAGAGACACAGGTGTATCGAGAGAGCAACAAGTATTGACAGCTGCTATTTCAAGCCTCCCATCTTCGCTTCTTTGCGGTAAAGAAGAGCCGTGCAGACTCTTCTCTCGAGTCACCCAAAACAAGACCAGGTGACATGAGCGGGATGGCGCTGATTCGAGCGAAATGGATCTCAATGACCAGGGCGCGTCGCAGGGAGCGGTTAGCCCAGGACACTGACGCAAGTGGCCACTGGGTTGCATCCCATCGATTGAGCTCGACCCCTAGGAGACCTCGACGGTCACCCACGAGCCCCTCAATGCAATCCAGGGGAGGGATGAAGCGGCGGCGGATTCCACAGCCGGTGTGGTTCGAGTCAATTTGATAGTCCGGGCACTGTTTCAGGGAGGAGATGATAGCCGAGATGTCGGTGGGTCGTTCGCTGGTTGACGAGGGAGGAGGTGCCAGGGCGTCACTGTCACCGTCAGAGTCCGTGCCAAAGTCTGGATCGATCAGGCTGGACCCGAGGAAGACGGTTTTGGTGCGTAATGCGAAGAATCGAGTCATCTGGCCCAGGTGGAACATGTCGCAGGCGCTGGAGTTGCCGTAGCCGCAGCGACATTGGTAGTGGCGGGATTGGTTTCCGCCTAGGAAGGAAATAGCGTTCGTTGGTTTGGGGTCGTCTGTCTCTTCTAATGCGCCGTATGCTCGCAGGAAATATGCTTGTAGATCGGTGATGGTGTTCAGAATGCATTGTCGTCTATAATATAGCTCTTCTGTGGGTGTTGTCAGTTCATCAAAATCTACAGACTAATCATATAAAGTGTGATAATGCAGATGAAGAGATACAAGGGATCTGCTTACCTTCTAGCCCGTCAGACAAATACCACCAAGGAAATGTCTGTGGAGATGCCCGCTTTTCCACGCCATTTGCCCAAGACCGTGACCCGACAATGATCAAGGTATGCGTCAAAACTTGAAAGACAGCGCTATCATCAAGAAAATTGGCTATAAATATTGATTGTCGAATACGATCCTCGGTCAACTTCAACATCTGATCGTCAAACTTTGAAAAGGCAGTTTTCCTTCCATAAACATAGCCGGATCTCTTCAGTGTCTCCTTGACAACGTGAGGAGAATTAAAAGAGTCCGCCAGTATGATTACCCTAGATACCAAAGAAGTACGCTGCGATTTAATCTCCGCGTCGAAGTTTCTTTTTGCCTCGTCATCGAATGCACCAAAAGACAGGATTCTGAGAAACAATTCAATGGCATCGACTCCAAGCTTCGGTGAAAAGTGATCACTCGGCAATCGGACTGTAGGTAGGTCTTCCCATGTTGGTTCCTCGTCAAGTTCGGGGGGTTGCTTTGATTTATCACTCTCAGAATCTGTGGTTGTTTGTCGGACCCGTGTGTTTTTCTGTTTCATAAGCTGCCTGCCTTCCGAAAACTTGTTCGGGTCAAGCAAGGCACGAAAGTATGGGCTGTTTTGCGCAAGCACTTCACTTGACACTCGCCATTTATAACTTGATTGCCTTGATGACTCGGGTGATGTGTGATCTGGAGGAATATATTCAATGATAACATCGCCACTGTTCAAAATAGCCGTCGCAGCCACCTGAGACTGCTTGGACGAACCCGTGTCTTTCGAGCCACCATTTTGTTTTACAGATTCAGAATTGAATAAAGACCCGCTAGTTGCATCACGAATAGGCAGTGCATGATGAAGAAAGGGCCCCGGTCCTCCAGATGGGAGCGGATCCATTTCGTGATGATCGGTAGCTTATCCCATAGATACGCTGAGAATCAAATCGCATTCGGCCACACTTTCGAGGCTAGCTTCGGAGAACATGGAGCCAAAGAAGTTCCCGAAATGGGCCTGATTATCCTCCTTTCCTTCCTGTAGAGAAGAATTTGAATATCCTGGGTATCAAAAGTGGGTCATTCGGATGCTTTTTCACCGGCACAGACCGGCATTCTTGGGAGGAAGAATTCCCAGATAGGGTACGAGATCAGGGCTTATGAAAGCAGCGAGGAAACACAGGGCGAGAGAGCTGGTTTGATTGTGGCGAAGAGGCGGTTGTGGTGATGGCGGGGGATTTTCGAGATGGGCCTCAAACGTCCTGATTGGGCAATATGGCATCATGTGACCGATATCCAAAACGGGCAGTCGTTCGCCTCTTCTCGTCTTCCATCTTCAAGCCTCGTCTTGCACCTCTATTTTCACCCTGCTTGTGGGCTGGTGATAATTTGGCCTCTATTTTTTTTTTTATTCAGTAACAAAACTGGCTTCGTATATTTCGTGTCAATTAGAATCTACTAAATACTCAACCCCAAATATCCCGTCTATCCCTCCAACTAACCATTAACAAAAAGGAAATGCACTAGGGTCATAATCGAAAATAGTCGTGAATCCAAAAAAAAAAAAAAAAAAAAAAAAAAAAAGATAGCCCCCTCCAAAAATGTCGCGCGTCTCTAGTTATGCAAAGTTCCTGCAGAAGAGGTAGAAGCATTAGCGAGGCACGAACACGAAAAATCTGAGAGAATATCAATCTTACCATTGTTGACACTGCGAGTAACCGTCCCATTCCGCTTATTGAGAGACGGAATGTCTCTAGACGTTCCATTTAGCCAGCTCCGAGGGTGATGGGTGAAAGCGAGACCTCTCCGGTCCTGCAGCTGCAAACGCCTCCATGTTAGCATCGAGGTATACAATCACCGTCTATAATTGGCGGGGAAGAAGAATAGGCGTCAATAATTACTCACCGTGGCGGGAATATTGGTGCTGTTGCTGCTAGCCTGAGCAGTAAGGGCAAGAGCGACGACGCCGAACAAAGTTTGGAGCTTCATGATGAAATAGATTGTAGAAGATATATGCTTGAGAGATTGGATTTGGATTCCTCCGGTGGAGTGAGTGTATGGACTTGATAGAGTAATGGATTGGAAAGATTTAAGTCAAGCAGGGTCATCACTACAAATTTATACGCGTCGAAATGGGCGTTGTAAAGGCCACCGGAGACACTGAAAGGGTGAGTTACCCTGGCGATGCGACAAGACTTGAGGGTGTAGACGGCTTGTCTGCATGTCTTAGGCGAAGATGGTGTCTTTGAGGATCAAAAAGTTAGTTGTGCACAGCAGAGACTCCACAAATTCCTCTTGGCTTTTGATTCCAAATCGCAAAAACGTCACTTCATTGGGACCTTGCGAGATGTCAGGCATATCCTCTCGTGGATCCTAGGGGAAACACCCTTGCATGAACGCACGGGGCGCCTCTATCGCTCTCCGGAGATAAGATGATCAGCAGAGTGTCTCATCGTATCAGCCAATGCGCTCGCCTCCGGGGTTGGTTGCTACTGCAGCCAACAAGAATCCCTGGCAGATGCATGCAAGGGAGACTTGGCTCTAGCAGCATGACAATGCAGTGAGCCGTTGTCTAACAGGGCCTAGATAGACGCCCAGATCACGATTTGGCTTCACGCCACTTACCTAGCAAAGCTCTCTCGTAGAATACCAAGCTTCCCCCCCCTGCATGTATGCTGTGTACCTTGAGTCCTTGACGGATCAACGATGTCCTAGGCTTTTCCTTGCGTGGTTACCTATATCCTACGAAGCAACGAGGCCTTAGACCTCCAATTGAATCCCTATCCTTACTGATAACACACAGTAAGAGGCTTCCATCTTTCGGCTTATCGATTACAGTCAAAACCTAAACCCTTCTTTATGGGTCGAGCATTCGAGGCAAGATAGACCAACATCTAGAGCAATATTTATTATACCTGATATTATATAAAACAGAGGTTACCGGCGGTTTCTTCAATGCGAAAGATATAATGACCGCACAGTCCAAGAAATAGCCGGCCCACATGAAGCTTGCTCCTACAGATGCAACGAAGTTGTTGAGCTGACAATTGCTCCTTTCGGAAGATGAAGACGAACTATGCAATTCAGCAAACATTGTTGAGTAGATGAGGCGGCGACGAAATGAACCGAACCATATACAGTAACGATAAATCTAAAATGGATGAAGATATGATCAAAGAAGAGAAAGAATTGAGCCAAAAGATATCAAAGAAAAGAGATTCGCTAAGAAGAAGTGTTCATGGTATCGCGATAATAGGCAGGTGTAGAACCTTGCGTCCTCTCATCACCTTTGTGGTCGTGTATGCATTTGTCGTATTCTTCCCGTTTGATAATGCTCGAGACTTCAACGCTTCTCTGACGATATAGAAGATCCTTTTGGCCACCGAATTCGCAGGTTCCAGTTGCGAAGGCGATGCCTTGGGTGTGTACGCAATTGTCTCCTCGTCTTCCTTCTCATTGTACAGATCGTCGACATGCTTGCCATTCATAACACCAAGTTGATGGGGTATTATTGCGAATAGGGTGAGACACGGCAGATTATCTTCATCCGATAGTTGATCCTCATCGTCTAGTGAAATGTCGTCGAATATCTCCTCCTTTTGGGACGTGATTTGCCATGGTTCACTGCAAACAAACCCTAGCACAAAATCTTGGTTGGCGTCGGCGGCAGCGATGCAGCTCCGTCTGTAATCGGCTGTGAATGAAGTGTCGACCGCAGAAGGAAGACACAAGACAAGACCTCGGGAGTAAAGAGGTGGGGCTGGAAGGTCTTCACCCGTGGAAGATATCGTCAATGACTCCGTGTCCCTCTGAATATTGTAGGATCGCTCATATCTCGAAGTGCCTTGATGATTTCCTGGTACGTCTTCGGTGTGTTGGGTGATCGTCTGGGTCAAAGAGATGGTGGATGGCTTTCGAGGAGCAAGTTCCGAACTGCTATCGTCCACCACATAATCGGAGGAGAGGTGTGGTGAGCCAGTATCAATTTCCACAATTGTTGACTCTTCTTGTCCGTTCAATGGACGTTCGGTCGTAATTTCGGTTCGGATGGTCTTGACGGTTTCGGCGACCGCTTCTCGGGCAGCATTCCTCAGGGTCGGAATCAGAATATCGGCCTCCTGATTGTTCACAGGAACTCCTGAGGGCCACGCCGTTGCGAGCCCTGCCCAAGCCGCCGGCCTGACCAGGCCTTTCGAGTAATTTTTCCGAATCAAATCCACCAATTCGTTTCTCACTTCTCTCGTTTCACTCTTCTGCCTCCCAATGATATCAACGGTCGCATTCAGGATTCGACCACATTCCCAGATCAGGAATGCGTGTTTGTTGGCTATGGAGATCAATTGACGAACGGTTTCGTGGGACCAGTCGTCAATTATGTCCGCATGGACCTGTAGGAGTGCAATGTGCGGGCCGACCAAATCTGCGAGTTCGAGAAGAGCGTCCGTGTTGTTGATGGTATGGGAAGGTGACACGCAGACGGGTTGGCCATAGGGCAATCCCTTTTTGACCTTCGTGAGGAGCTGGAGGTAGGAGTTCAGGCGATTCCCTGGGAAAGACGACGAGGTGGGCGTTTCCATGGTGTGTTGGGGCGGGATGGCAGCGAGGGGATCGAGTTCTGCGATGTCGAGGACGGGCGGTTCAAAGGAGGAGGAGGGGGAGAGTTTTGAGTTTGGTTTTCTTTTTTTTCCCTCTTTTCTTTTCCCCCCCTTTAGTCTGCCTGTTGACCTATGAACTTAAGGAGGGAAGGATAAGCAAGAAAGTTGGCGGATTGATGAGCTAGAACGGGGCTAAATGACCACTGGGCTCCTGGGCAAAAGGGAATGGTCGAGATCCAATGATTGACAGATGGGTTGAGAAACCCCACTTTTTTGACAGTTAGTTCGACCCGATACATCGACAGGGGGGCTATTAAGGCGCGGAGTTGCGGTTGTTTTATCTTGATGGCAAACTCAATCCGTGGATTTGCTTCCAACGATCTGCTAAGGATTTGCGACGGTTGGGGGATGAAGACGGCAGAGAGTATGGAGTAGAGAAAAGACAAACCAACACACACACACACACACACACACACACACACACACACACACACACACACAAAGCAACTACATATCTACAATGATACCCTTCAAGAGGTAATTCACAAACGATGGAGAATCCTTCAGTAGTCAGTACTAACGAGGGACGAGGGGGCAGAAAAAAAAGAAAAGGGGCCAATATAAAAAAACGCCCCTGAATCGATCACATCGATGGATTTTGCACTTGGTTTTCCCATGATTTTTTTTATTTTTTTCATTTCCTTTTCATTTGATCATTTCGGTTTGATCAGTCAAGTAGCGTCCGCCCGCTAGAGTGACCGGCACTCCGCAGGCCTTCTTAGTCAATGTTATTCGGTAGTGTCGATTAGTTAGTTGTTATTGGTTATGCCGATCGCCTTCCCACTTGTTTCGGAATCCTCTCGAGTTTCTAAACTGCGTGTGGTCGGAAAAGGCAAGGCGACGAAGGCAAACGGTCACCGAGAAGGAATGGAAACCCTCTCCCTCTCAAGCCCGTCGGGGGATTTTGGGGCGTAGCCGTACGGAGTAGGTAGTTAGTTACTAGGTACAGTACCTAGTCGTTCCCCTCCTCCAAGCGGATGTAACTCGGCTCATAGTTTGACTATCGTGTCCTTTGGTAGTCTAGAATATGAGACTCCTCCGTAGCTGATCCAATGGCAGCTGGGGATTCTCAGCAGGAATCGGCCATCCGGCTTGGAAGAGGAGAAAAATCCAACATCGGCCGGAAGAAGCAAGTGGCTTGTTGGTCTCTACGACTCTAATTCGTCACGGGAACTCCATAGTCGTGCCTTAGGGCCTTAGGGGCGTGACATCAGCATTCTCGATCATCCAGCTTCCTCGATGTACGCCACGCCACACCCGATAAGGTGACCATTGGCCCTGCGATCCTCGGATTCAATCAACCTTCGACTCAAAAGTACTCCGGAGTACGCGAAAACGATCGTCTTTCGGCGCGGGCCTGCCCTCCCGATACCGGGCTCCAGCAACCAACATGCGGTACTTCTCTTCATCCGCGAATATATGTCGCGCAGTGGATATCGACAGTGTGGCAGGTCTCCGTGTGGCCCTTGAGTCAACAGTCAACGATCTCTCTTGGATCAGAAACGGATACATCGGGGCTACTGTACGGATAGCGGGATATGGGACACACGGAGTACTCCGTACATGCCCCATGACACCAGTGAACAATGCCATGGTGGATTCTCCGACTTGAGGCGAAGATTCCCATGGAGAACATCTCATCACAGTATCGATTGAGATTGGTCTGCCCGAAAGGGGACAAATGCATGAAATCGGACCTCCACCATCGGAGTCAAATTGCTGCAGTAGCGCTCAAAGTATGAGAGTTTCGACGGAGAGTGGTCATTCCGTTGTTCAGCTAGGAGCCCTCTCGTTCTCTCCCCTTTTTGTCTCTCTGCCATCCTTTGTGTCGGGCGTTGTCCTTTTCGTCTCATGTCTTTCAATTCTACGCCATCATTTGCCCCGTTTGACTCACGCCTCGTACTACGGAGTCCGCCTACCCTGTAGAGTTAAAGGCGGAAATCAGCGGGCGCAGTACTTTTAGTGCACGTATTTTGTTTTTCCTCGGATGGATTCCGTTCTGTGCACATTCAACAGGGCCAAGTCCCCAATTTTGACCCTCCTACTCCGTACTCAGCTGGTCATCAATTTTCTTCGACCTGCAATGATATGCTCATTGACCGAGCCAAGATCCTTGAAATATTGATGTAGGAAACTAGTGGTTCTCAAATGTCTGCCATTCTTGTGGCTATTTAGAGCCCCTGTCAACACTCAAGACAAGACATTCCGATTTTTCAGACCCTTGCAAGCCATAATGGGGCTAGATAATATTTAGGCCCGCTGAATATTCCAAAAGGTCTGCATGAATGAATCCTACCCGTGTCTTGGACTCACACCGTATGTTCAAACGGAAAT